GTATGAGATCAACAAAATAGGCAAAATACTTTTTGCATCTTTGAGACTGATCTCTCTGACCTCAACCCACTCACTGTCCTTGATTATTATATAATAATTAACATTTTGGTGGTTCATTGCTGCTGTCACAATATTTGCTGCCCTTGCAGTCATGTGTGGCTTCAGCATCCGTATCTCCTCAGGTTGCCTTTCTCCTCCATGAATAATTCACTGGGGAGAGTCCAATCTTTAAAAAATGAGTTAGCGTAGGTGTAAGGCTGATAGCAAACATCCTTAACCACATTACATTTGTATTATGATAGCATGGATTTTGGCATCACATCATGTACTTGTTATTAACCTATCATTTGTGCTAATGAAAAAAAAAGTGACAGTCAAGAAATGTCAGCACCCAAGGCCGTGAAGTGACATGTACATTATGGCTGAGAATTAATTTGCAGTTATTTTTACAACCCTGATTCCCAAAAAGTTGGGACAATGTGTAAAACTGAAATGACGAGAATGCAGTGACTGAAAAATTATTTTCAATTTATATTCAATTGAATACAGTTCATCTTAACGTTCAGATTGTTTGCTATTTGTTAGTAGGAGTTGTAGTTGGGGCAGGTGCATGTTTACCACTGTGTTACATCACCTTTTCTTTTAACACTCACTAAGCGTTTGGAAGTGAGGGCACTAACTGTTTAAGTTTTGAAAGTGAAATTCTTTCCCATTCTTGCTTACTTCAGTGGCATGCAAATGTTTGGGCACCCCTGGTCAAAATTTAGTTTACTGTAAGTAGTTAAGTAGTAGTTAAGTTAAGTTAGTAGAACACTGCACAGTAGAACAGTGCACCACCACTCCAGAGTGGTTGTGAGTGATTTGCCTTTCTAACAATCCTACAAGCCGCTCTCTTGGAAAGTTTTCTTGGTCTTTCAAACCTGAACTAGCCCTCCACAGTTCCTGTTAAGTGCCATTTCTTAATAATATCACAAACTGAGGAAACCGCTACCTAAAAACACTTTGCTATCTTCTTATAACCTTCTCCTGCTTTGTGGACATCAGTTATTTTAGTTTTCAGAGTGCTAAGCAGCTGTTTAGAGGAGCCAATGGCTGCTGATTGATAGGACAAGGTTTCAGGAGTCAGATTATATATAAAGCTTTGAACTGACTTTGACATGCCAAAGCCCTGACAAGCTAATTATGGTCTGAGACCCTGGTAAAAGTTGTCTAAGAGCTCAAATGTCTCGGGGTGCCCAAACTTTTAAACGGTGCTCCCTTTCATTTTTTTCACTCTAAAATTGTACAAAATGAAAATAATACACTTATCGTGCTTAAAATGTCTAAATGCATGTTTTATCTTTAGCTTCATGCCTTTCTGAGATCAGTTCATCTTCTACTTGCTTAACTATGCACAGTTAACAAAGGCACAATGATGCTTGGTACTGTCTTGTTGGAATTAAAAGGTGCTGAAAAAAGATGCCTGGATGGCAGCATATGTTGCTCCAAAACCTGCATCTGCCTTTCAGCATTCATGTTGCCTTCACTGATGTCCAAGTTACCCATGATGCCATGGGCACTAACACACCCCCATATCATCACAGATGGCTTTTGTACTGGTAACAATCTGGATGGTCCTTTTCCTCTTTAGTCTGGAGGACAGGACGTCCATGATGTCCAAAAACAATTTCAAATGCGGACTCATCAGACCACAGCACACTTTTCCACTTTGTGTCAGTCCATCTCAGATGAGCTCAGGCCCAGAGAAGTTGTGGCATTTCTGAATGTTGTTGATGTATGATTTGCACTTTGCATGGTAGAGTCTTAACTTGCATTTGTAGACGCTGGGTCTTAGATTCAGTTTTGCCTGTTACACACAGAGATTTCTTTTAAGGATATTATGGATTGTTGATGGTGAAATCCAGAATTCCTTTCAACTGAGCTTTAAGAAATGTTGTTCTTAAACCGTTGGACTGTTTCCCCATGCGTCTTTTTTACAAAGTGACCACCCTGGCATGTAAACAACTGAGCCTTTCGAGGATGCCCCTGTCATACCCAAGAATGAGACCTTAATCTATTACCAGTTAACCTGTTTTCCTGTGGAATATTCCAAGTGCATTTCACAACTTTCACAGTTCTTTGTCATCCCTGTCCCAACTTTTCTGGAATGTGTTGCAGGCATCAAATTCAGAATGAATGTATTTTATAATTTTTTTTTTTTTTTTTTACAAAAACCCATGTCGATCTCAGAATGCATTATGTGCCTAAAGCCTAAACCACAACATCAAAAGCATTGTGGGACAGCTTTGGGGATTTAGCTTACCAATTAACATCAAAGTGTCTCTCAACTCTCTTTCAATGTTACCACAAGTGGAGGGACGCTGATATATAGAGAGGAATTTGGCCAAACAATATGTGTCACAGCATTAAGGCACTTAGTGAGGAAGTATAGTGCAGATGACAATTGACAAAATTGGGGCATATTCTTTATCCTTGGCAACAATAAATAGAGGAACTGTGGAATGAATAAACAAAAGTGTAGAAAATGTCAAATTTGGAAGGGTGACAAATTATTCACTGGTGGAGCCTTGAACAGGAAGTTGCTTGTTAAGTGCAAAGTTTTGATGTATTTTCTTGGTGTTTCAAAGACCCTACTCATCCAATAATGATAGGAGGACAAGAGTATTGTTGTTAACAAAACACTTTAGCTACTTGGTACCTTTCTGGGCTTTGACTCGAGTCTGGAGTGAACCTAGAGGGAGAAGTGTGCACACAGCTTTTTTTATTATTATTTAATAGTGCAAGGACTTCTTTTTCAGATCAAAACTGTCATGGCAACTTATCTTTTAAGCGCATGACTGGCTCTGGAGGGGGAGTAAGCACTCTCATTAAATTTCCATGTGGCAGGCTGTCTAGGGTTACATACTTTTCTTTCAGTTACGTGTACAAATTGGCTGATTGATGAGAGTCCCCCTAACCCTGATGTGTCCAGTGCTATGACAGAGCTGCAAAGTTAAGACTGAGACTTACATGAAAGCAAAAACATTCAAGACTTAACTGGTAGAACCCCAGAACAATAAATAATTAACAGGGCAGACCTTGCATAACCACACACCTTGAATATTTAATTATTAGGTCTGTGCACTGGAAGGACTCATCAGCCATGTGACAAAAGACTGGATTGATTATTGGATTTAGACTTACCCTCATGAACTTTAGACTCTATTTAAAACTTGGTTTGAAAGACTGACTTGACACTTGGACTTGGCTTGAGGTGACACTTGAATTAGACTTGTTTCGAATTTCTTAAAACTCACCTGACTCATCTAAAATGACCTGAGACTTTACTTAAGCTTGTCTCAAATTTCTGGAGACTTGCACTTGTCTCAAATGACAAAACTTACACTTCTCTTAAATGACTTGAGACTTGAACTTGTCTCGAAGTACCTGTGACTTGCACTTGGCTCACGCTATGTCGACATTACAGGCCTACTGATTATTTCCCCAGATCCAATCTTTCTGATCAGACTGTTCACACAGTAGTCATAATATGAAGGTCCGATGATGTCATTTTGCATAATAATTAGCCAAGTACTTCTGTTTAGGAGAGTGTGTAGCTTATTTTCAAAAGAAATGGCCCTTCAAAGCAATGGGCATTTGTTTTGGGGATAACAGGTCGTACAAATGGGCTCACAGTCGATTAGCTCTATTAGCAGCTTTTGCTTGTAGTTCTGTAGAGAGAGATGGATGTAGCCAGGAGGGGAGTCAGGAGTGGTGGGGCCGCAGTGTGGAGGGTGTCACAGAGGAACTTTTCTTCCAAACCTTGATGTTCGGGGCTACATTCCAATATCTCTTTCAGCGCCTCACAACAACTCCGTCACAGCATATAAGCAAGCTGTCCCTATCAGAAAGAACCTGGTCAGCTTACTGCAGCAGCAGTATGGCTACAGCAGACTTCTGTCGTTTCAACGGACCGCTTTGACACTGTATAGTGAATGATCTGCATCTGCACAGTGAAGTATGATGTGGAAAAACCACATGTGGGGAAAAAACACACATGAATTCCGATATGGGCATTCTCCCAGCAGTCGCTTGGCCAGTGATTGGATGTATTGGATATAGGACCACATACGATTGTGGCCCAGATCTGATTGGAAAAATTCTGATTTCTGTGTCCACACTACTCTGAAAAAATCAGATCGGTGTCTCATAAGAACAAAAAAATATGAGATTTGGGCCACATTTGCTTGTAATCTAAACATAGCCTTATACTTGTCTTGATTGACTTAACACTTGAATGAGGCTTTTCCCATACTTGTCTTAAATGACTGATACTTCATGAATGACTTGACAACTGATTCAGTCTTGTCTTGATTGACCTGAGACTTGACTTGAACTATGACATGACACTTGACTTGGAATTGTCTCAAATAGTTTGAGACTTCACCTGGATTTGCCCCAAAAGAGTTGAAGACTTTAACCTTGAGAGAACAAGTTAGTCCTTTGATCTAATGAGAAGCAATTAAGAATAAGCTGTTTGCTCTAATTCACTTCTGAGCTACGTGTACTCCTGATTTGTGATTTATGCTGACCTGCCCCCTGAGAGGGCCAAAACAAAAGCAAAATGTAGTGCAAGATATAATACTGTATCACCTTCATTTGCTTGTCCTCTGCCCAGGCAACACTGCTATTCCCCAGTGCATCCATGTGGAAGGGGGAAAGTGATAAGACCTAAATCCTATTATATCGATAATTCCTCAGGACATGAAGTTTTGTGACATTCAAACAGGAGGCCTCTGTTTTGTTTAGACTTTACTAAATATAGTTCGTCCTCTCTCATGTTTTTCACACTTCAGCAAATGACACGGGGGCTTGAACCCAGTGCATTCATTATGACTCAGTGTTGTGCACTAAGTCATGCGTATATCAATGCAGGATTCATCATTCATATCTAACACATGGTAATCAAAAGCCTTTTGTACTATCTCTCTAACTTATGAAAAACATAAGTGCCAATCCCCTGTGTATCAGAAACATTATTTAGATGTTTTATTCAACTTTTCTTCGTGATCACAGACTTTAAAATTCAATCATTAGAAGTCACTCCAACAGAAAATTAGACATTTCGTAGCAAACATTGCTCTCTGTTTTCCAAGAGCTTTTGGCACAAAGTACAAAGTAAGATCATGTTGGGGAAGTGTGGGTGTGCTTTAGAGTGTGTTGTGCTAACAGGCAGGTTACAGGTCAATGAATCTATAAAGGAAAGAAAGCATTCAAAAATATCAATGAGAAAGCAGTACACACAGCACAATCTACCACACTGGGACATCATAAATCAATAGAAACCTAAGGTCCACAATACACAAACTGTGCTTTAGGCAATGCTCAGCAGAGATGTGCGTTGGCTAATCCATTGCTTTATGTTCCTTCTGTAGTTAGACTTGTGATTTCACCACTATGAATTTTCTACTCTTTGATTTTTCCTTTCATTCTTCCAACATTTCACATAACTGCTTAAATTGGATGCAATCACTGTGGTAATTGCTAGGATATTGTCCGTAAATAAGGTAAACACCATGAATAACGGAGGTGAAAATCAGACAGAATGAGAGAATTTTTGGTTAATTTACTGTCTGCCGTCTCAAATCTTCTGCCTGTGTACGTTGGCCTTCAAAGTCTTAACTCTCATCCACTTCCACCTGTGTGTCCACTGGCATTTCTTCATTTTAGTTTCCTTGGTGATGGAGGATGGAAGGTGCAGAACAAGACAGCATCACAGCCAGTCCAAATTGGGGCCTCGACCCCTGTATTGTGACTGTCCTCTCTTGTGCCATCTCTCACCTGTACTGCACATCTGCCAGTCTAGTATGTGACACCATCTCCTGCATTTTTTCCAGCTGGTTCAGTGTGCATTATGCTATAGAAACATTCCCTCGTTTCCCACTCAGAGGAGAGATTGTGGCCAGGGTGTCTGATGTGAACAGAGGAGAGAAGACAGATTCCACTCCCGCTATAGCTTGACAATGAAGCCTTCTGCATGATTGAATGTATATATTTTGAATATAATGCACATCTGTTAAAATCAGGTACCTTTGCATGACATGGAAACACAAAATCTGCATCTGAGAGAAATTCATTTAGTGTACTATGGTTTGTTGTCTTGGTTGTGTCACAAAGACATTTTGACAATCCAAGAACAGATAAAACTGATATTGTACATATTGTGTATATTTACAATATATGAATATACACATAAAATCTGATATACCTGGGTTCCCTAAAAGAGGTTGCAGTAACTGTACTTTTGTAGCCTAGCAAAAGTGTGAATCAAGTCTCCCGGGGAAGCTTAGCACTGTATTTGATTCCTTTGCTGCTGTATAGTAGATAACAGTTATTTTCATGGTCTCCAAAAATAGTTGCTGAACGCTTGTATAAGTTGCGGCATCATCAACACATCCAAAATTGTTTCAAGCAGTTTCTCTCAATGTTTTTTTTAAAATATATATTTACATTTTTTCCCACCAGCCACTTTCCCAGTCCACATCAGACTAAGGTGTGCAGTTCAGCTCCACTTTTCCCTGTAAACCAAACTGAATGATTTCAATCCACGTCAGACTATTGGTGTAAAGACAGATGGGAGCTGCAAAGGATTCATATTGGTGTCAGTGCATTCAAACATCACTGAAGTAGTGTCTTGTCCAGCTCCTCTTCCTGGTCCATAATAAAGTGATTCTGGTCCTACTGAAACCATTTCCCCCAAACACTAACACTCAGAAAAAGAGATCCTTTGGTCACTGAGGGTAAATACGACACAACCTTAGGGAAAAAAAGTACCTATTGTCTTGAGTTTTGTGACCCTGTCCCCCCCCTCCTTCCCTTCACTACACAATCCCCTCGCTGCGTTTGCTCCGCCACACCACCAGAGCCGTCATGAGGAGGGTGACCAGGATGGGTACTACAATGAAGGGACCCAAGATGCGATTGGGTGGGTCCTTGAGAAGCCGACCAGACAGCGAGCAGTCATGGAAGTAGTGCTTGTGGACTCGGATGAAGAACTCATCCACCAGCCTGTTGGGCCAGAAGCACTCCATCTTCCGTGCCACCAGGAACGTGCAGTTTGTCAGCTCGCCGTAGAGCCTGTTGGTGACACAAAAAAACAGTTACACATTAATGATCAACTGACAACCTTGTTAAACTCTTTGTTCTTACATGTCACATATGCAGGTACCACTGAAAATTCTTAGTAACTTTTTTAAATTGCGGTAAATCCATGGCGCTGTCCATGGTGGTCTGTGGAAGAAGCAAGTAGCAGATGGAAGGCGGGGGAAGGGGGTCAGGGAGCACAATCTGACAGGGACAGTGGTCACTGGCAATAAATGAGAAGCTGTCATCAAGGACCCAATACACAGCTAGGCAACGGATATTTCAGAGCCATGATCGAGGCCATAGATTCTATCTTGCACAGACCTCAGTCAGATAGAGGATCAGTGAGTCAGACAACTAACTTCTTGGCCACTCCACTCTTTTTGCTTCTATAGGGGGTGAAGACGTGAGATGTCAGGGCATGCATTTCGCTCAATTTGTCAAAAACGGGAATGGCATGCCCCCTCAAATCGCCCATTGATACATACAGACATACTGCTTTTGAACTGCCTGTGGGAGGAATGAACATGTAAGAGTCTGTCTATTCTTGCTTAGATGCTTTTTCCCTATCTTCTTTTCTCTTTTTAGCACAGCCATGCAAAATTACTTTTCTCTTGACTCACTTATTTCTCTGGCTGTTGTCTCTCCCCTCTCATCTCCCCTCTTTGTGCGTTTATCCTACACAGGGATTCGAGTTGCAATTCTTATCAAAATGCACAGATTTGATTGACTGAGTAGCAACATTTGAGACAATTTACAATGGATGCAATCAGTCTGTGGGTTTCCTGAGCTGCTAAGTTGTTGCTGTAAAGGCTAGGAATGCTGGGATGTTTAAAACAGAAGTGCTTTGTCAAAATGTAATAAATCTCAATAATTTATTGGTTACAGGTCCGGGTCCGGTTAGGACAGTGTCTGGACCTGGGTCTGGACCAAGGTTCGCCTGTTAGTGACTTTGTGGGGGATGGAGAGAGATGGCAGGTTAACAAGGGGGATGCATTTTGGTCATTTTGCTAACAGGAGGTGATGGCATCCCCCCTCATCACCCCTCCTGCTATGAAAAAACACTGTTATTTTGTTTTAACATGCTGCTGCTTAGCTTACAGACTTGTTCATACTTTCACATTTCATGCAACAATAGAAAAATCTTGTAGAATGAGGACTAATCGAAAAAAAGTAAGACTATTTTGGTTAATGTCAGTGTAGTTTGGGTTTGCTGGGGTGTGAATTTCTCCAAATAAAGATAATAAAGCTAATGGTATACTAACTCTTGGGCTTGGAAGCAATGCTACTATAGGTTACTACTGTAAGGAGTAAGCTAGTTAACAATATATGTTAACATTTACTGCTTGGCTTACATTATAGCAGATAAACACAGTTTAATCCATTCCTTGTTTTTGGTTTTGGAAAGGCTCAACAAAGACCTTCCAAAGTCTTTAAGTGTTGAGTATCTCTCTTCCTACTGAACTAACTACTGAAACATTTCAATGCTTTAGCTTGGGGAATAAAAAAAAAAAAAAAAAAAAAAAAAAAAAAAAAAAAAAGCCTCACAGGTCTGATGTATGATTAGACTATTGGGGGAAGGGGTTTAGTGAACAGTGGACAACAACATTCTATGTGGGACTACATGGTCTTTTATGTGTTGACAAAATCTATGACCCTTGTGATCCTCAAAATACATTATCATCAATACAAGAAAAGTGTATTTGTTTTCTGTTAAAAAAAGTGTGTGTGTGTTTGTGTGTGTGTGTGTGTGTGTGTGTACTGCATGTTTCAACAAAATGCCTAACTCCTAAATCCACTCTTCACTTCATTTTCATCCCAGGGAGATGCTATTACAATACATAATTTATCCTCAATGAATTCAGAAATTCTCATATTGTTATGCAAGGTGAATTCTTAAACTCTTTTTTTTCTTTCAGAAAGGAAACAGGCTTATTTGTAGATATTGTAAAATACACATTATTATAAAACAACAACAACAACAACAACTACAAAACCTTAACCATCTCCTCAGAAATAGCAGTTTGATCAAATAAGATGTGTAACTAGGAGCTGGGGTATGAGAACCATCTTGCACCAGATTGTCCAGGTGGTTCAGATGCAAAACACTTGTCCTTCGCCCTTAGAGACGGCAAGAGGGAGGGGTCTCATAGTACCGATTACACCTAGTGTATTTGTGTGTATGTGTGTGTCTTGCTCCCCCATGGTGAATCGACCATCATAATTGAGGTAATGACCCATGATTATGATTGAGCACATAGTGGCCACTGTAACTGCAAATATTAAAGTCAAAGCACATACATATAATGTCCAGGCAGCAATTCACACTCACAGAGACCTTACACATACGCACACTTGCGCAGTGACGGTAAACTGACTTGTGTAAGTCCTTCAATGGCACTGCCAGGCTGCTGCCTAACGGTTTCCTACAGCTATTTACATCTATGGCTCAGACTTTGACAGATTCTATCAGAAAAATGCCCAGATTTTTGTTGAGGGGCAAAAAAGAGCCAGATGATTTTCATATGGATTTGATGTCCTCACTTAGTCAAAGAAATTAATGTTCATTCACTGTACTGTAGTTGGCAGTGCGACCAAACTAAATGTGTGGGATAGTTTTTACCTAGTGGGAACTGCAGCCAGATAATACCTGCAGCCAATTAGAACATGTCAGAACTTGTGACATGTTGACCTATGTAACAAACAATTTCTTCCCATCTGAAACACATAAACATGCCTCTCAACTGTAGAAAAATGTAGTTATTGTGATGAATCACACTTCGCTGTTGTCTGGTATGTTTTCGGTGTATGGAGAGTAGTGAGAGTGAATCAAAACACTAAAGTGGCGGACCAAAAAAACAATTAAAGCTGCAAGCAGCAATGGGCGTGACCGCGGACTCCGGTCGTTACGGCCTCCAGCTCACGTAGACAGTTAAAGACAAAAGTTTAAGACGATTTTAGACCCCTCTCCACTCTAGCTCACAGCTGACAATTTCTCCACATTTGCTCATGTTACTTTCAGAGGCACTAGCTCACTTCCTGTTGGGTTTAGGTCAGGGGTGTCAGCACGTGATTTGTAGGTCTTGATGAGACGAACAAGCCAGTTTTGGTTTGATCTTTCTACGACATTCCTACGGGCCGCAATGGCCATTTTAGTGTGCCTAGGTGGCTAGGTGGCGCTAGAGAGCCCATTTTGGCACTTTTGGGGTAAATTCTTTCATTTTATCAAATTTTTCGCCAGTCCTGACATGCGTGCCAATTTTGGTGAGGATGTGAGCATGTTTAGTGGGTCAAATTCAACCTCAAAGAGGCGGCGGAAGAAAGAAAGAAAGAAAGAAAGAAAGAAAGAAAGAAAGAAGGAAAGAAAATAATAAACGCACCATAAACAATAGGGTCCTCGCCCTTCAGCCGAGGTCCCTAATAATAAATGCACCAAGGCCGAGGACCCTAAAAATATGCCACAGTGCTCTTTCAACTTGAGGGGAACTGCAGAGTCGGGTGATAATTCTCTATGGGTGTGTCTGCAAGTGACCTCTTTCACATTACATATAGTCAACTGACCCAGCATTAATATTAAAGTATCAATTAGTGCTGCAATAATATCCAAACATTGTCTCTACGGAAGAATATCTGCTCTGCTAGTCCTCTCTGATCTGCACAGCTCAGATTTAATATGTTAGTTTAATATTCTAACAGCTTTTGATGAGGCATCCCAATGCGCGGTCTTTCTTTGTGGAAGTTTTATAGATGTAAACAGCTCAGGGCTGGTTGGCATGGGACCAGCGCTGCAGAGCACTGTGGTTGCTCCGGGTGGCAGCTCACTCTGTCTGGGTGTGTTGCTTCTTTCCTCTGCTTTTTCCTTGAAGTTGTACAAATCAGTCATAGAGGAGAAAAAAAGAATTCTGGTCCCACTGCTGGTTTAATGAGCACTGAGGTTTCCGGGGATGTTCATGAGTCACCGACTAAAAGAAGTCAAAGCAGAGTTGAGACAGGGGCAGTGTACACAAAGAGATGTTAGTGATTACTAGTTCACCTCATGTAGCTAAGGTTAGATTAAACCTGAAGATGTGCAGCATCTATGAATGTGTGTGTGTGTGTGTGTGCATGTAAAATTCACTAAACTATTAAATGGAGTCCACTAACAATTTTCTTTTCATCATCCAACTGATCAAACGGAGTACAGAGTAGATCAGCCTGATGTGTGACATAAAGCCGTGGCGGTTATACACTGTACTGGTTAAACTAATGTTATTCTTTGAAGAAACGTCATATGCATAAGTTTCAGCTCTATCTTAAACTGGCATTTGTGCTGTGACCAAGACATTCAGTACTGTGCTGGTCGCTTTTCAAATATCCACCCACTTTTCTATTGTAACACTGTCTCTCTGTGAGGCCACAGAGTAAATGTGTGTGGGTATTTTACAGGCAGGAGGAGTATGTTTTTTAACCATTATGTATTTATACATTTGATTCCAGTTAATAAGAAAGGAAGACAGACTTGACAGGCGGCGGTAAGACAGGGAAACAAAAATGAGGCAGTTAGGAGGAGAGTGTAAAATTACATTTCCACCCTTTTCTTTTACCTTTTCTGTCTCTCCCGCTGATATCCAGAGCTAGTATCCTTCCAAGCATTAAGTGCTATGACTAGTGTTATTACCACAGATAGTCTACTTTGATTGCACACTAAAGAGAAAACAACTTGAGGGTTTGGAGTGTCAGTGTTGTTGGTACTGCGATATGGAGTTGATGTCCTCTTTTACGGTGTAATGCAGTTTTAGAATAAAACAGGTTAGAGATGGTGACTCTATAAAACAGTATGTTTTATTTGTTGTTTCTCTGTGGGAATCATTACACAGCAACAACTGCAGAATGGTAACAGGGTTACTGCTGGCTGCTGTAGGGTGCAGTGAAATCCCAGATGTACACAGTTTAATTTAAATGGTCCAATTTGATAACCTCATGCAGCAGATGGTTTGGTACACAGGACCATCTGA